TAGACTAACTATAGACTAAGGATAAGTTATTATTACACTTAGAGGGTATAAATTAACTAGGAGCCTAAGACTTATTAAATTTAATATTATAGCTATATTATAAACCTAGCTAGTTAGGTATTTATCTTTATACTAGATTAAGAAATTATTAATATAGTAGTAGATAAAATAAGGCATAGGTCTAATGCTAGACGAGGTGGAGAGAAGACTAATATAGGTAGTAACTATAATAAAGATAGTAAAAGAGAAGATAAGGAAAACTAGCTTATTATAGTATTAAGAAAAACGAAGAGACATAGCTAGAAGGATATTAGGCTACTAGGGAAACTTTATATAATTCTTATTTATATAAGGGCCTTAGAACTTCTCTATAACAAATTTCTTAACGCTACTAGCTATATAATACCTATAGATAATAACACTAGATAGAATATTTAGTACACGATAGGTATAGTAGCCTATAAGCTTAAGGGCTATATTAATGCCTTTGTTAAGGCCTATCGTAAAGAGATCAAGAAGTATATACTTTCACCTAACGATTAGGATACTCTACGTGAGATTAATATCTTCCTTAAGCCGTTTAAAAAAGTTATAAGTATAATATAAGGTAATCTCAACTTTATTAAGAAGATGCTAGTAATTATAGATATCCTTATTAAATATTTTAAGAAGTAAAAGAGTAAGTATTTAAATAATTCTAGGTTTTAGAATACGATTTTAATAACATAGCACGCCTTTAATAAGTACTATCTCCTTACTAATAAAGTACTAGCTTATATAGCTACTTTACTCCTTTATCTATCTAGGTAAAAGCGCTATATTAATTTAAACTAGGAATAAGTCTTAGGTAACGGTAGTACTACTAAAGCTTTAGAGACTTTAGGAGGGAATATATATAATAGTTAAAGAGGACTAGGTTTACCCCCTATTAGAGTTAACTCACGAGCTAGATAAATATAATCTTCTTAAGTAAGATCTTAACATAGTATAAACGTTACTTAATAATTAGGTATCCTTTATTAAAGCTAACCCTACTAAGATCCCTATAAAGACCACATTAGAGTAATAATGCTAAGAGCAATAATAAACGCGGTACTAGCATATCTCTTATATAGCAATTAACATCCTATCAGTACTAGTAATATTAGTAGAAGTGGAGTAAGTTTTCTTAGGGGCTAGACGGTAAATACCTTAGAGTAGAGCGAAGTTAGGATCGAAGATAATCAAATAGATAGAATACTTAAAATATTAGCTAAGGAACAGGTAGCTTAATTAGCTTAATATAGACTTACTAGGAGAGCGAGATAGGGAGGAAGTGGATGGTGAATTAGATATAAGATAAGGCGATAGTATAGCAAGTTATATATCACATGACCTTAAGGATCCGTCCCTAGATACGAGTCGGTGGTAGTGGGCCGTTCACATAGGGAAGCTCCGAACTTACTAACCTACCGTTTCTCAATATACTCAATATACTCAATATACTCTTTCTATAGTTTCAGCCTGCTAGATGCTTTGCTTTGATTTGATTTGATTTGATTATTTACGTCCGTTTACGCCCTAGTGTAGGCTTTAAGACGTGCTATCGAGCCTTCTACGGATAAATGTATAGTCGTACCCGCTAAGTGGGCCGAATACTCTTCCTGCCCATCATCCTGCAGTGTCGCGCCAAATGGCATTTGTCTGTCAAAATCGATACCCGTTAGCGGGATCACGATGATGTTAGCGTTATACGCCCGTGGTTGCAGCCGCGGGCCTGTTGCGCCACCAACTGTTGACACCTGGTCTTTGTACGGGGACCAGCGGGAGCCCTGGCCTGCCGGATGCCACCGACGCAGGCGGTGCATACAGGGTAGTCAAGGTTCAGCGTCCACAAACTGACTATAACCAATTGTAGCCAGTGGCCGAAATCTGCTGAGGAGGCTACCCCGCACCTACCCCACCTGCCTAATCTGGACTTTTTATTAAGAAATTGGTAGACGCTGGACCTGAACTGGGATGTACTGAGCTACTATAATTAGATACTACCGGTAGATAGCTAGAGTATAGTAATATTAGCTGTACTACTAGTAACTAGATTTAACTAAATACAGTTATATAATATATAAATTATTTTACTTCTAAAAAGAAGCGAAATATTTATATAATAAGTAGCAGTTTCCGTGATAGAACAGCGCGCTCAAGCGTCGGTGGGATCGATGCAGCTGGGCCCCAAGCGGCCGGAGGTAAAGCAGCATTTGGGGTCTTTGCCCATGTCATTGCAGAGCTCTTTAAATTGGGCCATATCGTCTGGAACGATAAAAGCTGTATTGAAAAACAAGGAATAACAACACGAGTCAGTTGATTATGGCCTAGAATTCGTACAAGTGGACGACATGAGCTCACGGAATTTGCAGCTATACCGCCTAGTCGCGCCGTCCAAAACGCAGCACGAGGGTCTGCTATACTTGAAATTGGGGCACACTTTATCCGCAGCCACGACGGCTCCGGCGAGGAGAGAAATGATAGTGTGGGCGAACTGCATATTGAGCAGTCTTGATAGCCTCTGGGGTATCCGGTTTTCAGATATTGTGGTAGCTTGAAAGTCAAATAAAGCAATTCAGACTCGAGCGACTAATCGAAGACTATATACTCATTCTTATAAGCTACAGCACTTGTCTAGACTTGCAACGTCATGCTGACGCTGCCCAGCTCGTGTCGCTGAATATACCCGAGACAGAGCCAAGAAATATTCAATCTAGAGGAGCGAGAACGGAGCGAACCAATCGTCAAAGACACGTTCTGGGAGCGGCTCGTACCGAAACAGGAAACCAGGCCGATACACTTGCTGGCTTCTTATTGATCCGACTATCTGTACTGGTCTGGTAGAGCGGTGAGTTTGTCTCATTTTTTTTCTTTATGCAGATATCTGAGGCAACGAGCCACCCCCACATGGCCGTCGCCCGAGACAGCCCTAGGCCAAACAGCCACCCCGAGACAGGTCGAGGAATTAGTAAATAGACTGAATAACACACAAGATATAAAGATCATTTTACTAAGTACTTATTAGAGCTATAGTATAAGTAATATGTTAAGTAAAGTATTTACATAATGTTTAGTAATTTCTATAGTATAACGTCGGGCACCCCCTTGTGGGCCACACCTACATTTGGGCCACCATTTTTGGTGTAGCTACACCAAAATAGAATCTTATATAATAAAATAAAGAAAAATACTAAAATTATTATAAAATATAGGTTAAATAGCTAAAGTAATAAACTTACTTATATAAAATTTTTAGAATCTAAATAAATTTTATTAAATTACTATAATTAGTTAAAAAAAGGTAAAGAGAAATGTTAAGCTTTATTAGAAACTTACTAGTAATCTTTAACATTTTAATATTATTTTTAAAAATTTAAGGAGATTTACTAAAATTCTAAAAATTATAGTATATACTATTAATACTAATAAGACCCTTATATTAATAGATCTAGTAATTTTAGCTAATAGATCTTAAGTTATTAAAAGTAGATATAAAATAAGAGAAGAAAAAATACTTTAATTTTTTAAATATTAAAAAGAATTTATTTATAAGCTAGGATCTAAAATTAGATTCTTTAGAATTTTAAGTATTTTAATAAATTTTTTAGCTAATTTTAAATATTCTATATAAAAACTTATATTAAAAAAAGAAAAAGTTAAAATTACTATGTAATTTACTAGGAGAAGATTTTCTTTAACTTTAACTAAATATTACTATTTTTTAAAAAATGCTATAAAATTAAAAAAAACTAGAATATTATAAAGTAAGCTTTTCTCTATTTTATTAATAATTTTATATAATTATAGTATATATAGTAGGGCTATAAAGCTTATTTAAAAAAGGTGTGTTTTTATGTTTTTTGGTGGGAAGAGGTGGCCCACAAGGGGGTGTGGCCCACAAGGGGGTGCCCGACGTTAATAGCTCGTTTAAACGGTAGAGGTATCGAGGCAGGTGTACTCTGCTAGGCGGCTGTGGCCTTGGCAGCATTTGGCTTCTCTATTCGTCTCACGACATTGGTCGACAAATGTGTCAATGTTCTCAGGAGGGATCAAGACTATATTACAAAAAAAGACCCCGGTCAGTTGATTATGTCCTCAATTTGGTGTAAGTGGATGATGCCATAAGCTCACGCATGCGACAGCGATAGCGCCCAGTCGAGGGGTTGAGAGTGCAGCACGCAGAGTAGCCATGCCTTTCGTCTGGGCAGACCCGCGTGGCAGCCATGATGGTGGTCGCGACAATGGAGACGACGGCGGCGAAATGCATCCTGAATCGTGTGGGCTGGTCTGGAGACAGTGGGAAGCTGGGTGTATATCGGTCGTGCAGAAGCAGTGGTGAGCTTTCAAGCGAAGAGAAAGAAGAAGCGGCCCAATATGGCTACTGGGAACCCCATTGTTATACGCCGCCAGCATTCGTCTGGACTCGCAGCCGTCACTGCTGATGCGGTGCAGCTTATGCTGCTGAATGTTGGCGAGACAGGCAGGCCGCGGGGTACTCAGCTGCTGGAGAGCGGAACTACTCGTAAAGGGCGTCTCGGGTACGGACAGCTCCGAGGCCGAGAACTATGTCGATGCGTGGAGAGCTGCAACGTGACCCGAATGCAGAAGCGTCTCCCTTTCTTTTGTGCCCATGTCTGAGACAACGAGCTTTACCTACTACCCGAGACAGCCAACCAGTGTGTAAGATAGTATCCGCGATATGACTAAATATGATGTCATATATTGGTTTGGCCGTATGATCTGATATTGCGGCCGTATGATATGCTATATCTTCATATGGTGGCCGTATCATATCGCCTTTCGTGATATGGGAGCCCTAAAACTCGTATAACCAATTTTGAGAAAACGCCAACGCTTAATCTCAATCGGGACTAGTGTGATCAAAAGCTCCACATAATAGATTTCTAGCCTATCAGAGAGCTTCTTTCTGCCACCAGTGCGGTCATTATAACAGCTGCAGCCAGGCAACCTGCCGTCTTCATCAACACCACGTCAAATGGCTGCCTTTCCAACGCTCGAAGCTGCATATAACGACCTGCAAAGCCGGGAGAATGCAAAGGGCTTTTGTGTACGAAAAAGAACCGGAAAGAACGACCGTTTTGGCCTCCAAAATAAGGTCTATTTTACCTGCGATCGTGCAAATGATTATAGGCCTGGCCGGCACTCTCGTGGCCAGAATAAAGCTTCAACACGAGCAGATGGATGCCTTTATTCTAGTATTATCTCTTCAGACTTTGTAGGTTATTTTTGAGCAAAGACAACCTACACAGAACATAACCACCCTGCCTACGAGAACCCCGCAAACTGCGCTGGAATTCGCCGCCATTCACAACGCCTTTTCGGCACCAAGAAGCTCGATGACATTATCGCCACAACAAGCGAAGCTGGCGGATCTAGCTCTGAGGAAATCGCACGCGATTTATGCCGGGAGCACCCTAATCTCTTGATCTATGGCGCCCACGTCAGGTCAACACAAAAACGGCTCCTCAACAGCGTGTACGGGCCTAGCTCCTCCACACAGGCATTCCTCGATCAGGCACCGCAGGCACTACAGGCAGGATCACAAGATACAGGAATTATAGCTCCTGCCACCCGATTTGGCAGCCACTTTGATCTATATACGTATTACCTCAACGCCTCTTTAGACCCTCTATCACAGCCTCTATCACAGCCTCTACCGCGGCCTACATCGACAATAATTGGCGGCTAGAGGCAGTGGTAGCAGCCTAACACATAGTACTGAATACAAAAAAAGGCGGTAAGACCCCCTGCCAATTTATATGGAGCCACTACCGATCTCTTCCTAATCTGGTAATTAACGTTGGCGTTTTCCTAAAGTCAGTTGTAGGAGTTTTAGGACTCGTGATATAGCCGTATATAACCATATTAGCACTGAAATTTTAGCAGCGTAGGAAGTACTGCTGAGGTTAACTACTAGCATAGGGGTAAGGCCTAGAGGTATCTTAGTAGCATATAGTCTTAGCAATTAGTCTCTAGGCTTACGATTAGTGAGTTAGCTACCTAGAGGTATAGATAATAAGAAACTAATAAGTATAAGGTTTTAAGTAATATAATTCTATTATTATATATCTACTTAGAAGAAACTATCCTAAAAGAAAGGTACTTAGTTTTATATAAGAAATAAAAGCTAAAATAAGTACCTTTTCCTTTCCTTAGTTTATAATTAGTAATTAGAAATATAATATTTTATTAGTTATTATAGTTTATATAGTTTATTATAATTATAATTTTAATATACTTTTTAGTTAAAGTTATTATTAATAAAAGAAGTTATATTAAAAATAAATTTTATAATATTTAAAAAAATTAATTATATAATTAAACTTTAATTTTATATTTTAAATAATTAATTATATATATAATA